ATGCTTAAATCATCACCTAGACTGCTTAGATAAGGTGCTCAGTAAATGCCTGCTTCATTATATGATTGCTCTACAATAGTCTTTTGTTCCCTTCTAAAGAAAGTGGATGTGGTGATGAAGACCAACCCTGATCATAAAAGTTTTATTACTTAGTTAACGTATGAAGCTATCAAGTAAGGAGGTAAGAAAGTATTTTAATTTGGAAGAAGATGATAAAATACCAAAGTAGGAAACTATAATGCCAACCTTCTAAACTTTAGCTGACTGTAAAGAAGAACTTCCAGGTCTCAGTGGCTTCATGCGGTGCAAACTTATTTCTCTCTTATGTGTCGGACAGGCCCAGGAGGTCAGGTGGCTCTCCTGAGCAGGTTTCCTCCACGTGATGATGCAGGGATCCAAGCACGTTCCACCATGTGCCTTTGCATATTGGTGTTCTTCGCTTCAGCTATGAGGATGAGGGTGAAAGAGAGAAAGGGAGAAGGTGTAAGTGTGGGAGGGAGGGGGAGAGAGAGACACACACAGAGAGAGAGTGTGTTAGCAAAACTGAGAAAGAAAGGGAAAAAAAGGAAAGAATAAGAGCTAAAGATCTTGCAAAGGATTTTAGGGGCCAAGCACAGAAGTTGCGGACAAATAGCATTTCTGCACCCTTCCCTGCCCCAGAACTAGTCACGTGGCTCCAACCTACCAGCTAGCAGGGGTTTTGGGAAATCCAGTCTCCCTGTGTGCCATGTAATAAAAAGGATAGTTGAGTATTGATGAAGTTCTGGTACAGCACTCAGCCAGGTAACATTTTGTTAGTGGTAGATGTTCTCTGTAATTAATCTATTTGTGTAGTTGACTGTAAACTAATCCTGAAATTCTGTGTAATGAATGCCAGAACCAGTGAATGACCCAAGAGAATTTATGAATCATCATGTTTGTTTCTTGTTTTAGGAATTTGCAGAAAGTGAGGGAATCTTACTGAGACATGCACTTCCGAACATTTTATTTTTGTACAGTTAGCCAGTAAATAAGGACCCTAGGTGACAGTATCTTAATGACCATCCCTGACAGTCAGGTGCCTGTTAAAGAGCAGGTTAGTATGTTTTACATCCAGTAAATGACAAAGGCAAAGAAGTTAATGATACAAAGAGTAGAAGTTGTTTGTTTGTTTTTTCCTACTTCTACTTCTCTCTAATAAATAATGGCTCAGTGTTGCAATGGGTATTTGTACTCAGCTCTGATAGGAGGGATGATGGCAGTTTTCTGTCTTACATCATCGAGCACAGTGACTTACTCCTGCAGACTTATTAGTGTTTCACTTGAGCAATTCTTTTGAATCATAATTGGCCTCTGCACAGATCAAGTATTGTATGTATCAGCGCAAACCTGGGAGAGTTTACAGCCACATGGACATACCTTGGGGCCATGCTTAACTAAGCTTCAGAGATATGTGTATCTTATGTTTTGCAGTGTTTCATGGGTCTATGGATTGATTTTGAATCCCGTGTCTTCTACCAGAGTTTAGATATTTAACACATTTGCGAAGCGTTTGATGGCATGGTTGATCACGTGGTCTCCAGCAGAAGACTGAGTTTGAATCCTGGCTCTGCCACTTAACCACTGTGTGGCCTTGGGCACTATGCAATATTTGTTTGCTAGGGCTGCCCAGGTATTCGTGGTAACAAATACCACAGGCTGGGTGGCTTAAACAACAAACGTTTATTTCCTCGCAATTCTGGAGGCCTGAAATTTGAGATCAAGGTGTGGACAGGGTTGGTTTCTTCTGAGCCTGTGACGGTGGAAGGGACGCTTAACATGACTTGCTTCATTTTGCTGCTTCTGACCCCTAAAGGTAACATCCTTTAGGTTAAAAGCTTCTGCGTAGCTCTGCATGTAGGCTAGAAGAAAGTTGACAACCATGCCTTTTCCAAAATTAACTCCTGGGGAGATAAGAAAGGTATACACACAAGTGACAATGCTACGTTAAAGATATTTAGGAACATCCTGACCTTCGTCATCCAGAGTTAACTGGCCAAGAGCAAAGAAGTTTTACAACCTCCTCAGATCCTCACTGATGCCCAGATGTCTGTGACCCTCGGTTACCTCTTGCAACCCAACCACCCCTTCCCCCTTCCTTAAGATATAATAAAAAGGAGCCTAAAGCTCATTTGAACTTAAGATAATTTTTTGGGACGTTGGTCTGCCATCTTCTCCCATTTGCTGGCTCTCTGAATACAAGTTGCTTTCCTTGACCGAACACCTTGCCTCTCGACTTACTGGCTATCCTGCAGCGAGTGGTCCGGTCTGGAACTCAGTTACGAGGCCTCTGTCTTCGGCTTGTGGATGGCTGTCTCTACCTGTGTCTTCACATACTCTTCCCTCCATATGTGTCTGCGTCCAAATCCCCTCTTTTTATAATGTCACCAGCAAGATTGGACCCACCCTAATGACCTCATTTTAACTTAATTACCTCTTCAAAGACCCTATCTCCAAATACAGCCACATTCTGAAATACTGGGGGGTTAGGATTCCAACATATGAATAGGGAGTCAGCCCATAGCAGGCCCTTAGTCCTGCCTAATCTGCAAAATGGGTTAATAAAAGTACTTCAAAGATATGATGCATACAAGTTACTTAGCACAATACCTGGAATATAGTGAGTACTTACTAAATACAACTATTTCTATTACACTCATAAATCTTATTATATCTGTGTCATCTGTTCCAGTTGGGAAATGGCTCTATGCGTGGCCTTTTAATTACTAAGGGCTGGAATTATCTCATGTCCTCACAGCATCATAACAGGCTGCCTTCAACAGAGTAACAGGGCAGGAGCCCAGGGGATGTTGATCATGCGGATGGGTACGAGTTTTGCACTCCAGGGTTTGAGTGGTCTTCTGTGGCTGTCACTTTGGTGTCAGTAGGCACCATAGATGGCTGTGAAATGCTCTCAGACGTCCTAACTCCTGTAGTGGCCTGCCCAACAGCTTTACCTGAGCTGGACAAGCACCTGAAGAAGAAGAATCTCTCCAGGCCAGGGGCGGGAGACAGAAGGCTTTTTGCATTTTGGGGGGAGTACCCGTAAAATCACAAAAGCAGATCACCAAACATAAGAATTATCCAAGCACTGGATGTGATTTTTAAACAAGGCAGTGTGTGAAAGTGATCAGCTTTCCTGTGATAATTAGCTGTCCTCTATCATTTCTAGACTTGATGAAAACTGATAAAATTCTGTGATGTTGGTATTATGGTAAGTTTTCATCTCAGGCCCAGAGAATTCCACCGTCTCTAAATTCCTGGCATTTCTTATTTCACTGGTGTAAATGTTCTTTCCTTTCAAAAATAGCAATGCTGCTGTTACGACTCAGTCACGGTTTATGTTAAATGCTAGCAAGCGTGGCTTTCCACTAGGATCAGAAGAAGGAAGGTTGGATTGCGTGGACTGGGATGTAAGCTAAGGAGGCTGGTATGCAGTCCTTCAAACCAAGAGAAGCTTTGGTACGGTGGGAAAGGGTGTGGTTATTAAGTCCACCCAAGTGATAGCATCCATCAATAGCAGTTGAGTTAAACAGATTCATTAACATAAAGGGTGTGTTATCCATAGATCATGCTGGATTCCACTTAGCGCATCAGCCCCTAAGCTGTGAGTCAAGGACACCACTAGCCTCATCAACTAGCTCCTTTCCTCTGTCAGATCAGCTTACTGTATCTGGTTACTTTTTCTTTTGAAATGCCTCTGAAAATTTTTATCATTTTTTAGTAAAAGGTATTAAATGACAGATATGAGGCTGTCACATATAAATACTGTGATACAAGAAGAAATACATATTTTGTCTTTGTTCTAGGTTCCTGGCACAGCTCCTAAAACCAGTAGAATCTCCAGAGTGATAAGAATGTCCTTTCATGAGATGACTGGTGGCCAGAGGCCCCTAGATAGCTTCAAAATGGGGGCTGCTTGCCGGAACGACCAAGACATGATAAGAGGATTGAAACATTCAGCCCCTCCCTGACCTCCGGGGAGGAGAGAAGGGCTGAAGGTTGAGTTAGCCATCAGTGGCCAATGATTTAATATATCGTGTCTACACAATGGAACCTCCATAAAACCCCTGAACAACGGAGTTTGGAGAGTTTCTGGGTTGGTGAACACACGGAGGTGCTGGCATGGGTGGTGTGCCCAGAGACGGCATAGAAGCCCTGTGTACCCACCTGCCCCCATACCTCTTCCATTTGGCCGTTCCAGGGTTGTATCCTTTATAATAAACTGGTAAACCTAAGTGAAGTGTTTTCCTGAGTTCTGAGAGCTATTTTAATAAATCATGGAACCTGCGGAGGGGGTCGTGGGAACCCCTGATTTATAGCCAGTTGGTCAGAAGTGCAGGTGGCAGTTTGGAACTTGTGATGGGTGTCTGAAGTGGGGGCAGTCTTGTGGGACTGGACACTTAACCTGTGGGGTCAGTGCTAACTCAGGGTGGTTAGTGTCAGAATTGAACTGAATTGTTGGATGCACAGTTGGTGTCCAGGAAGTTGGAGAATTGGTTG